AAAAAAATAGAAACTACTGTGATAACTAAATGGTTATAATCCTAGACTAAAAATATGTAGTTATACCCTAGAACATAAATTCAAATTTCTATATGTCTACTATAGTTTTTGAATAGTTTTTACCAACAAAACTGGACTACCAAGCTTCAACAATAATGTGAAATTTGTTACTGTTCCTATGTGAGTTTACCATTCACTCTTTCCAAATTCCCCAACCTATACAGTCTTTTAATGTTACTTTTTAAAGAAAGCAACACTAATAAAATGTATTTTTTGTATTATATTTATTTTTCTTTTATGTATGTGAGTGCGTTCCCTGCATGTATGTAAGTGCATGCTTGTCATGCAATGCCTGAGGAGGTCAGAAGAGAACGTTGAATTCCCCTGGAACTGAAGCTCAGCCATCCATGTGGGTGTTGGGAATCAAACCCAGGTTTTCTGCAAGAGCAGTCAGAGCTCTTAACTGCTCTGAAACGTCTCTCCACCCCCATAAAATATTTTTTAATAAAAAATATTTTTTTTGAGTTCCTATTTCTGAGAAAAACTTAGCCAGAACTTTCTCTGGGAGTGATGCAATAATATGTAATAAAGTTCTTGTGATTGTCACGGAGATTAAAGACAGTGGCGGACTAACTCAGACATGTTGACACATCATACCTCTGTCAAATGAGCACACATAAATAGACTTCCTTCCTTGTCTGAATTTCAGATGAAAGGAGTGAAAAGATTCATGCCTATTAAGGTGAACGTGGACATCATTCACCCTCATGTTCCTTGCTCCGAGGCGACCTACCCCTCCTAGATCAATTGCACTTCACTTTAACATCCTACAAACCCAAACTATGTTTTGTCATTGGATTTATAGAAAATAATAACAAGGAATAGTAAAGAATACACTAAAATTGCAACTCTGTAATTATACAGCCAAGAAAATATGCCGAACTTCAATGTGTTATTACTGCAACTTCTCATGGGAAAGTTGTTACTTAACTTTCCAAATTTGTTCAAAATTCTAACCTTTGAGAAATTATCAAAAAGTCTTTAATTCTGAAGTGTCTAACCTTAGGATTCCTCATTTATATTGAGTTAATTGAGTTATTGCGGGTTACTATAGATTTTTTTGATAAACAATTGCATTTAGGAACTGGTCAGGAAATCCCGTGGATGCTGGACAGTTTTTTTCTTTTTACTCTCTTTGAATGGAAGGAATTCTATGCAATATTAATTATCCTAACCTCATTTACTTCATGCTTCAACAACAACAACAAAACCCAATGACTGGGTGTAATTCCTGTTCTTGTCAATAGAAGCATCTTTGTGCCTTTTTGGAATTATGGCACTTAAGTCAGCAGAGCACAAATTTGAATAAAGATGAAATGAAAAAATAATGAGTGGCTCATAACAGTGAAAATGAGTTCCATCCTCATAATCCTCCTTTTGATTCAAATGATATGTAGTCTACTAACAGAAAAATTAGCCTGTACTGTTGCTGCTGAAGAACATCCAGTTAATCCTACCAAACAACTCCACTGTCTTATGGATTGGTATTTCAATAAAACAGCAAATGACCTTCAGCTAAAAAGCTCATAGCAAGAACAAAAGCCCTTCACAGATCTTTGGCTATGGTATGAATATCATCCTCAGGCACCATGCTGTGTAATATCCCTGGGCAGCTATTGAAACGTTGAAAAACTCTAGAAAAGCTGGCAAGGGGCTTGTAATGGTGCAATGGTTAATGGTAACTCCTACTCCAAGTGTTCATTTTCCTGAGTACATATTCCTGCTCCATCAATGGTGAAGGTATACTCTAGAACACACCTGCCAATCCCAGTTTCTCTTCTGATGCTGTGATAAGTTACCTAACAAAAGTCAACCTGGGGGAGAAAGGATTTATTTTATCTCACATTCCAGGTGTAGTTCATCATGGTGGAGAAGTCACGGTAGAGATTTCAAATGACTAGTCACATTACATCCACAGGCCAGAGCAGAGAGAAATTAATACATATATGTTCACTTAATTATATTCATTCTGATTTTTTTCCACTCTTACACAACCCAGGAACCTCTGTCCAGGTAATGGTGCCTCCCACAGTGGGATGGGGCTTTACCCACATCAGTTAACACAACCTCCCACAGACACTCCCACAACCCAATCTTATGTAGACAATCCCTCATTGAGACTCTCTTCCCAGGTGGTTTTAGATTATGAACTCACATGCAATGATTTAAAGAAAACTTTTAGACAGTTAAACATTAGTTTCTTTCCCCTTTACCACTAGATTATCAAGCAAGTAACAAATGCATTATAAAATACCACAAAGAATGAAAAAGGATGTGTAATCTCTTACAGAGGTAAAGCGGTTTTCTTTCTTTTTTTCTTCTTTTACGCATTAGTGTCAGCTGGAAGATAGCTTTCATAATGTATTGAAAATGGTCATTTTGGTTCAATGCATAGTTAAGATATTGATTTAGGGATATGGTGCAGACATGTATTTTAAATTTTACGATGTCATGGGTCACTTTACTGTTGTAGGAAATGTCATATTGATGTGACTTACTTGGGTAGTTTGCCAAAGGCTTTAAACATTTTACGTAATAAAACTTTATTGGCAGTCATTAGCTGTGCAGTACTCTTTGGTTAGTGTATTTTTGCTTAAAGATTTACCATCTTTAAAGTGGGAAGATGATTATGTGACTTTTGCGATATAATGTACTCCTTTGTCAGACTTAGACTCAGACAGAATGTACAGTGAGAAGATGTGGTCTGCTTTGACAATCTCCACTTTTCTCTTTCTGAACTCACTTTCTGTAGAATTGGCCCCCAATCCGGGGCTAGCTACAGATACTAACGATAGCTACCCTCCTTGTTGGGACCAGGTTATTGGGGATATAGCAGAATTTCCAGTACAGGGTAACAAAACAGTCATTGATATCTGGAGTTACATTGATCGACTACGAATATATAAGATTCTTATGAAAGAAACGAGCAAGTATTTTGCTCAATTTGGGCCAAACAATACAGGAAATGTACTGTGGGCTCTCGCTTTAATCTATGGAAAGCTGTATAAAACAGGTATGTATATTTAACTACTTTTAATGAAGTTTTCATTTTTATTATTAAGAACTCTTAATGTGTTTGTTTTAATGCATTTAAGTGTCACTGTTGATACAACCAGTTGTCTGCCAATGTACAGGGCTTCTTATGACCTGACCAATGATATTGGTGAGTAAAATTGCATAGTATACCTCATTTGCATTTTATAAACTTTCTATAGTACAAGAAAAAAAATATAGATTTTTAACGTAAGTTAGTATGTGGTAAGGTGCAGATGCATATTATTGGAGAAGTTATATCCCCCTCTAGATTAAGGCTTTTCAGTTCCTGAAACACCATCTTCCAGCCTGATAATCTTCTCAGAGAAGATACTACAAATGCTTTTGTCTCATGAATTATGATTATTGCAGAAAACATGGCAAAGCTTTCTTCAACTTATAAAATCAAAGGAGAAATTTCATACAAATAAGGTAAACATAGTTTACCTTAAATGAACAGGCTTTGCTTCATATCTTTTTAACAGAAGGCAAATCTAAGACATGACACTCAGGATATCCTGTCCTTGAAAATAAAACAGGAAAGATCATTATTAATGACTAAACCGCTCACCTACTGTACTGAAACAGTGACTAGGTAACAAAATAGAGACGAAATACTTCATTTAGAATTCAATGTTTTTAGAAAGTGCTCTCCTTATGTTTACCTGAATTTTTTAGCCAGTGTATATGTTTTTTACTTTTTGAACCAGCTTTCTTGTCAATGAGGTTTTCAATTCATGATCTTTGTTCCCCACTTGTCTTCACTGGATGTGAACAGACCCCCTAAATCCCTGGTTGAGCAGAACAAAACACTATCTAAATGTCATATGTTGGTGCAGAAATTTAATTTGTGTGAATTCTAGTTATTCCAAAGTGGCTAGCAAAAGCTTTCTGGGAGTTGAGGAGTTCTGTTCATTCAACTCAGTCAACAAGGATTTTACAGACATGTTTTTTACCATGTTCCAACTCAAAAGTATTTGTACACAAACTAACTACCAAGAACAGACCATGTCATCGAGGACTCTCTTCTCATGTTTCCTTTTGTCTTTTCTGCTTTCTTGTGATTCTCTAAAATTCCAAACTTTCATGCTAGACATGTTTACACACTCCATTTGCTCCGCAGACAGATTTGCAGACCCTTCCAATATTTCAGTGTGTGCTTATGATGCTGTATCCCCTGGCTGTCTATCAATCAACAGTGGCTGGGGAGGTAAGTGTTACCCTTACTCTTCTGTTAGTCTTGTCCACTGACCTGCAGATATAAGGCTTGCATTTATACAGTGTAGAATTGATTAGTTGAGGTAAATACATTTCCTTTGTGAAAATATACATTTCTCTCTCTAATTTCCATAGACACTAATCAAATTAATGAAAAATTGAAAGCTAGCATTAACTATGACCATGTCTGAATTATGATATGCATATAACATATTTCTGTTTTTAGCTAGATGTTAAAAATAATAAATTTCCTTCGCTGTGAGTACTCAGTGTTTGAATTTCTATTTCTTATCTTGCATTCTTTCAGCTCTATTTCCTACAAACTACTATCTCTTCTCTTTATAATTATAGTCCAGAATCTCAAGCCCTTCTGAGACATGCTTAATTCAGTCCTTACCACAGTGCTAGCTTTCCACAATAGAAATAATCAGATAGAAGCTGAGAGTGATTGAGCAATTTGCTTCTTTATATAAAGCTAATGATTCCAAAATGGCCCTCCTTCTATTTGAACATCAATCTAAACCCCTCTTCTGTTAACCCTCTATTTTGTTAATCCCCTTGTCTGTTCAAAGCAAACAAAAACTTGTTAGTGACTTCATGTTCCGACCTGCAAAATTATTTTGAGGACTTACAAAAAAACCTCACTGAGGGCTGAATCTAATATATCAGATGACTATTGAAGGTAACCCCTCAAATAACACTCACTGGGGACAAAAATTCTAAAAATGAATAAAATATATGTGTAACTAACCCTAAGTTTTCCTAGTCACTTGCATTTTATAGGACTAAGAAATTCAATAGAATGGTACACCAGTTCAATCATTTTGTCAGATTCATAATCATTCTGTTAACCTCCAGTTTGAGAAGGCAGTGGATAATTCCAGAGTCTTTTCTTCTGTTAAACTGCAGGCATTAACTTCTATGTGAATGTTATGAATTTCCTTGGTGCAATTGAGTCTGGGTTTTTGAGGAATATACCTCATGAGGTAGTGTTACTATCTCGAGAAGAACACAGATCTGATTTCTGCTATTCCATTGAGGAATGCAGGGCATTGTACCCAGAAGCTATGGATGCAGCAAACAGGTTTTATAAGGTAAAGCAGTGCAATGGCAGTCTTATGCTGAAAGAAGTGAATCAAGACAGAGACAATCTTTCATTGTAGTTATAATTGGAGAATTTACTAAACTTAATCTTTATTCAAGAAATAAACTGTAATTATGAATGATGTATTTACCCATTTGGAATTCTTGTCAGTATCCTGAAATGTTACTAAGTGGAAAGTTTTTGAGTAAAATTGATGTAATAAATTTTCAAATTCTATTTGTCTATGCAATGAAATCAGCATAAATATGTATATGAAGCAAGAAAGACAATTAAATGTAATTTTTAGGTGTTAAATTTATTTTGACAATGAATCTACTTCTATACAATCAACTAGACCTGTATTTCAAAGGAATCTGCATCAGGATTTCATGAGTACAACTATTAATTTTATCTTAATTTGTTATGAGTTCTATTCACATATATCACACTATTTATTCTGCAGTATTTGCAGTCCAGGAAGTCATTACTCACCATCAGCAATATTCCTGTATATGACACAGATCAGGACCTGGCAATCCATCTTATGTGGGAGGCCCATCAGGCAGCTATTGATGTGGGACTTCCAAAGTTCACTGACATGTAAGAGAACTGCTTTGAGTGCTTTACATAATACTTAAATTGCTTATAATATCCAATATGCAGTTATGCTTTATAAATGGTTTTTATTTTTTATACTGTATTGATAAGAAATATAGAGAAGAAAAGTTTCTTTCTTCCAGGTCTATGATAAATTTTATTAATTTATGTTGATCTAAAATATTGTGATTTTGATTTTCTATCAAAAGTACTTTAAATTTCATGTCTGATAGTGCTAGAATAGAAATATCTTTTGTATCTTCTTGATTTTCAGCTAATTGTTATTTTCTTATCTTGGATATTTGGATTATGTACTGGACAATACAAGGGAAATTTGTAGAGATAAGTCCTACTTTTAGTAGTAGTATTTTACTTCAGAGGTTGCTTGTCTTGTCCCTGGCAGGCAGGTGAGAAGCATACTTTATCATCCATTCTTGACACCTCTTGGATTATTATTATTGAAAGATGGGCTTACACATGATATATTTGAAAGAAAACATGTATATGAAACTAATCTTTATGGACAATGAATATACTCAAATAAAGACGGGGTTAAGTCTTTGTCGAAGGCTAGTCTATATTTGTTCACTCACTCCTACTTCTGTCTTTAGCGGTTTTAAGTAAAACATATGAATGTATAATGGGACACCTCATATTTATTTGCCAATAGCTGCATGGTTTCTTCTTATTTCACGATTGTACTGAACATTTGTCTCATCTTCATAACATCTATTGCTAATATTGGTTAACTTTACCCTTTCCCTGAGATTTTGTGTAGAAAATCATTGATAATTAGAAAAGTGAATATGATGGAAATTAGAGAAGAAATGCAATGAGAAAATAATAAGGTGAATTTGAGGGGCTGGAGAGATGGCTCAGCAGTTGAGAATGTGCTCTTGTAGAGGACCAGGATTAAGTTCCCAGGATCCATGTCTGGCAGCTCACAACTGCTTGTAATTCCTGTTCCAGGGGATCTGATGCCATCTTCTGGTTTCTGCAGGCAACCACACTCATGCGCACATGCCCTCACACATACATGTAATTTTAAGAAACAGAATAAATAAAAATTTTAAAAGAGGGGTAAACTTAATGAACTTCAAAGAGAAATTATCATATTTCATATTTTTAAAAAATTATAATTCAAAATTTATCACTTTTTGTTGTTGAAGAGATTTTTTTCCAATTTAGGTACAAGATTAAAAAAATGTCATAGTAAATAGTTTACTATCCTGAAGCTTTAGATTCTGATGTTTAAAATCTTCAGTACATTATGTAGTAATTCCAAGAAATGTGAGAGAAAACAAATATTTGTACAGTGGTTTGTATCAAAAAAAGGATTTTAAAAATATGCTGTCAATTATGTTCTTCTAGATCACAGCATTTTTCTGCAGCTGAAAGAAATTTCACAGTGGACTTTCTAATTGCTATAGAATTTTGTGAGGCAGTAAGATATCGCTCACACTTTAACAGTTCAGAAGAATTTCTAGTAGGTTTTCCACACAGGCTACTCACAGACCAAGAGAATCCAGTTTTGGCAAATGACTTAAGCACACGGGAGAAAGGACTTTTGACTTCAGTGGCACTCATTTCAAAAGTAAACAAAGTCACAGGTACGATAATAATATATGAATAAAACATAAATGAATCAGTCACATGAGATATGAATATGTTTAATAATTCAACCATTATTATTACTCATTGACTATTAAACTGCATATAGTAATAAAAACTAAAGAATTTAACCTTTTAAACATTTAATGACTCAACAAGATGACTATATGATCACTGTGTGTTTTTATTCCTGTAAAAATATAAATATACTCAAAATTTGCATTTCTGAAAAGTATATAGAAAAGCCAGCAGATGGAAGCAGGTAAAAGTCATTCTGATGACTTGAGTTCATTTCTCAGGGTTGAAAGGGAGAACCAATTCATGAACTTGTCCTCTGACTCCCCAACACACACCTTGGCACCTTTGTTCCCCCTCCTCAAATATACACACAGTACTAAAAAGATACAATTTTGAGGGGGGGTCTTTTTGAGACAGGGTCTCCCTGTAGTCCAAGCTGTCCTGGAACTCACTATGTAGACCAGGCTGGCCTTGAACTCACAGAGATCCGTCTGCCTCTGGTTCCCGAATGCTGGGACTAAAGGCGTGTACCACCACGCCTGGCTAAAAGATACAATTTTTTAAAAACGCAAAACCAGGTGAGAGATAAATTATTTGCCATGTCTGTGACAGAGAATATGTTTTGATTGTTTTAAGTTTCTTTTGAATCATCTCATCTCAGCTTTAAGAATGCTTTTTATTTACAGCCTCTTGTTCTTTTTGTCATTTCTAGATGAAACATCAGATACCGTGAATTAATAATAATAAAATTGTTAGTTCCAGTGCATACCTCACTGATAGCCTTTTTGGGATTAGGGCATTTCCCCTTATATATCTCACAAAAAGTTACCGTTTTTATAGAACACTGTCATATTCTCCATAATTTTTCCTACTGAATTTTGATGTTCTATCATTTTGCCTTTTTTTAGACTTGACTCTTTCCTCTATTCTCCAAAGTGACAGTTTTTATCTTTTATATGGCCTCCCTCAGGCAAATATTCATCACCTCTTATTTAATGCCATTTTTATTTTCTTAAATATTTTAGCTAGATTTTTTTCTTTCATATACCATTTTAAATCTGTCACCTATTGCAACAGTAACATTTTGAAAAAAATATTTTTATGTGATTCTCCTTAAACACTCTTCTTACCCTAAAACATTCTAGTTATTGGATTGAGATTCAAACCCATCCTTTTGTGAAAACTGGGTTCTTCAATATTGGTATGTGACTCTCCATTGACTCCGGTACCAACCCCTGCAGGAAGACTACTGCAGTTCACACATATTTCATGCTCCTCCCTAGAATCATCCTCCTTTTGTTCTTTCCATGACTGGTTCTTGTTCCTCTTTCAATGAATCTAAAGATTTATTTCATCCGACCATTGCCCTGAACATTCTGATGGTTGAATGGGCTTGAATATGATAGATCCAGGAGATTTATATTTGGAAAAGAACAGAGAAGGTGACTCAGTGATTTTCATTTGTTTAATTGAAAGTGTATTTTAGTTTCAATGCACCAAGATTGGATATAAAAAGTAGCTAAAGTGGTTTTGTTGAAGTTTACTAGATACAGAGAAAGATGGTTAGAGAATGCTTATTGAACATCAGTTATATGATGGAAATTAAATATATTCACAAATCATCTTATTTATATGTCCATAATGTGAAATGGGTAACATTATTATCATTTTAGTTATAAAGGTTCATTGAAGTTAAATATCTGTCTAAATTTATACCTCCTATTAAATCTGAGGCAGACTTCAACTAAGATCTGTCTAGCTATAGTCCTTGTGGACATTATTTTTCCACTATGTAGTATTGCCTTTAAAAAATATTAAACATGTGTTTTAATATTAGAGAGAACTGTATAGAATCATGAGTTTCAGTCCACCTTTTTGAAGACAGACTCTAAGGCCTGGGTACACTGAGTTGCCAGAACCATAAGTTTTATCAATCTGATATCAAGCATATCTCCCTCCTCTCAGGGAAACATTCAGTGCAACAAACCAATCTAAGCATGAATTGGAATGGTCTACCATGAGTCCTAAATGCTTGTTTTGAAATGAAATAATCATATATAGAGATTGTTCTTTACTTTCCACATACTATTGTAGCTAAACTACTGTTTGGTAATTTTACAATAGGTATGGTTTAGGGTAAGGGGCTTTTCCTTGTACTGTCAGACTACCCAGTACAATTCGCTTTCTTATATACTTGGCTAAAGCTAATAGGTATAGCTACTAATATATTTAAAAACTAATAATTATAAAAACTATTTTGATATTTCTGACTGTGGTCATATTTTATTAACTAACTGCAAATGTGTTTCTCTATTTTTACAGGAGGCTTGTTCTTAACAGTCTGGACAAAGGCCATGAGTATTTCAGGATGGATTCAAGCTTTGGGAAGGTTCCTTATTAAAAGGCTACTCTTAATACCAGTTCAATAGCCTAAATTTATTTCATTACATTGGAAAATTTAATTCCATAATAAAAGTCAGTTAAATATGATAATCTCCCATTTATTTTTTCTGGTTCTTTCTATCTTCTTTGTTCTTTTACATTTCTAATTTATAGCAAATATTGACTTCATCTAAATAACTACATACCACATTGAAGTCCAATTAATTCTATAAAATGCCTGAGTTACAAATAAATATGTAAATGTCTATGCATATGGAAATTTATAGCATCAAAAGTTTTGGCTTCTAAAAAATATATTCTTAAATTTTCTGGCAAGCAAAGCAAATTTATCATGCAGTATTCTTTTAACAACTCAAATTTTTAAAAATTATTTATTTAGTAACCACATTACTAGAAGAAGCATTTCATTGCAGCATTAACATATTCAGTAACAATTTCCAGAGCAAAGATGTATCTCAGTATTGGCTGTAAATTTTTAGGTTCACAGTTGAATTAATACAGTTATACAGTATTGCATTCAGTATAAACCCTATAAGACATAAAATTGAATGAGGTTTTAACCTTTGAAAAAGATCTCCATTTTATTTTAAAATATAACGTTTCATACAGAAAAACTAATTTTTAATGCTACTAACACTTAGATGTTTGCACATGCATTTCTAATATCTCAGCATCTGATTATTACTAGTCACAGTCAGGTACTTTCTGAGATCCACTTGAGCATGGATATAAAGTCATCAGGTAGATTTTAATGGTAATGAACTTGACCTCTACTAATTAACATGGAGCAAATTTTTATGCTTCTTTCTTCCTTGAATATAACTCATTTTTATTTGTTGATATTTTGTGTGTATTTCATAAAGAACATCCCAAACAATCTAATTCATCTATGTACCCGAATCCCAAATGGCACATAGTCTCCCCTCACACACACTAGAGCACATATACTCTGTAATCTCTGTTACTTTCCACTGTGCTGTCGGCACCCCCAGTCATTCTCCAGTGCTTGTCCATCCACTGAATTTAGTCAGTCTATCTACAGTTCCTTGCTTTAGGAAGATAAGTTCTTCCTCACCTAGCAGCAATGAGTTGCCAATATTCCTTTAGATAAGATTGGGGTCTGCTGTCCATTTTCCCAGTTTTATGCTGGGTTACCATCTGGGAGACTCTTGGGCCACCCTGGCCAACAACTCAAAGGAAGGTATCTCTTGTCTGGCATTGTTTCTTGTTATGTAGCTTTTAGCTATACACAAGGATTCTTAAAGAGTTATATTGATCCCTTCAATCTTTGGTTATACCATAGATAAGACCATACAGATGACCCAGATAAACCAATTTATTTTTACTTTTAAGTTCCTTTGAGGATCTGTTCCTAAAGGGTCACATGGGCTTGGGAGGAGCCCCTGGCTCCTTTCTTTAACCAGCTCCATCTATGTGAAGATAAATCAAACATCCTGCTCTACCATGGCTGGCCTCACTTGGAAGTGTGGAGGAAATATTTCCTCTTTGTAGGCTGGATACTGGTTCAAGTCCATTCAGTGGGGACTCCACAGCATCCTTGATCAAGAGGACAGGTGACATACTACAGTTACAGGACATTTTGAGAGATGCTCATAGTCTAGTAGAGCTTAGTCGACCTAGGAAGGCAAGGAGCAAAAACTGTCCTTTATGTCCCTCTGACCAAATTAGTATAGGCCTCAAAGTATGGCTGTTAGACATCCAAGAAGGTTAGTTCCACCAGTCTGGTACTTTTAATTACTACATGCTATGTAGATAAAGCTTGGGCAAAGACCAAACATTTTCAGATAAACCTTGCCTAGACATGTATTATATTCCTCGAGGTAGTTGTATGTATAATTTGTCAGTAGGTTGTTCGATTAATATGGTTCCCTCTAGTTTTTTAAAACTAGGTGGGTACTATTTCTCTCTCACATTGTATCACCCTTCCACCATGGTTTCCCCATTTAAAGTGCCCCCATTTTTCCAATTTCTCCCTTGATAATTCCCTTCTCCTATGGTCCCACCTCTCTTGAGCGCCTTCTTTCCCTTTATCCCCAAGCTTCCTTGTATAACCTTCCCTCCCCACTCCCCTTAAAATAACCTCATTTTTATCCATATTCCCCTTATTAATGCCTGTGTCCTACTGCTCTTCTCTTTCAAATTTTTTCTTTTCTTTTACCTCTTGGTTCCTTTTCATTATCCTGTTTTCTGTAGTTATGTCTGGATACATACTATCTTATAAGCATTTGGTGCTAGGATCCACATATGAAGGAGACTATACTCTTTTTTTTTGAGTCTGTGTTACTTCACTTAGTATAACAGTTTCTAGTTCTATCCATTTGCCTACAAATTTCATGATTTCATCTTTCTTTACTGTTGAGTACAACTCCATCATATAAATGAACCACATTTTCATTATCCACTCATCAGTTCAGGGACACTTAGGTTGCTTCCATCTCTTAGCTATCATGAAAAGAGCGGAAAGAAACACGGAATGCTCAGGAATACTCGCAGCCATCCCCTTTCCTAGAAAGCTGATAGCAAAATCCTTACTGCTCTAGTTTAGCACAAACTCACCGACTTTCAGTGTTGTATATGCCTGGCAGTTGGATCCTCATAGAATTTTTCACAGAGAAATGCATGATAACTAACACATTTCTTCCCCCACATTCTCAAGAAATACAAATCAAGTACAGTTTTGTTTCTATGTATTCCCACCATGATGAAATTTGAGGCCAGATAATGTCTTGATACAGACATCCAGAGAAACAGTTTGAGACCAACATAGATAACATAGTGACATATTGACTCTAAGAAAGCACAGAGATAAAAGTGAGGGGGGAAGAGGGAAAGAGAGAGGGGAGAGAGAGAGAGTGCACTTGCTTAGGATCACATTTAGAAAATCAGATTATTTGATATTAATAACAATAGTATGAATAATATGAAATTGGGGAAAGTGTCCTTATTTTTTAGCATAAAAGAACCATGAAATCATATAGCATACATGTTATTGAAGCTTTACAAATAGCTGAAATAGATTCAAGCTAGGAATTCTCTAGCTTCCATACATGCACAGGATCATTACTACACAGGATAGTCTGAGAAATATCAAAGTAACTGTTAATTAGTTACAATTACACATTGAATCCCAAGGTTCTAGAATTAGAGAGAACTGAACAGAGTCATTCAGAGTCTATCTCTCCACTGAACACTCGCAAGTCCTGAGAGAACTGAGGTTTCAGACATCACTCAATTTTATTGACAGCTGTACAACAAAGTCTGTACCTCCTAGTGGTGGTTTAAAAAAAGTCCAGCATCAAGGATAGGAGAAAACC